ACAGTATGCATTAGAGATGGAAGATGCCTGCAGGAGACACCTGTTTCTTGCTGTTTAACTTACCCGCCCTCTTTGATCACAGAATCATTTTTCCACAGAGCACCTACGAATTAGCAGAACATGTGTTTCCCCGAGCCCATTGTGGAGACTGCTGCAGGAAGCCTGGCCAGTGCTTCCCCTGCCCTCCTCCCCGGCTGCTCCACCACCTGCCAATGGCCTGTCCAGGGCACAGGGGAGCCTGTGTGCCCGAGAGGAAGAGCTCGTACCCCACAGGACTTGAAATGCAGGCACAGGAAAAGGAGATGCAATGGAACATGAGGTGCTGACAGTGGCAGCTCATGAAGCAGGATCACAGCTTTCTGAGTTCCTGAAGGATTGGGAGGTTATAAATGCCTCTTCCTCTACACGTAGGCAATTAAACAAGGTGAGGAAGCAGGAGGCAGATGCAGAGCAGGAGGCTTAACCCAGCACCTCCTGTGTGTGTGAGCCCCTCATGCTGGGGGCTCTAGGGAGCTTGACAGAAAGAAGGTCCAGCCCTCACTTATAGGCTGTTCGGGAAGCCAGGCACATGCATCAAGGCCCCAACACAGCATAACTGGGGTGAGGAGTACAGGACGCCAGGAGAAGGAATAACCCTACTGGGAAATCCAGGAAGACCTTTGGGCAGAGGCAATGTTTAGCAAACTCATGCAAGAAAGGTAAGTCCTTGATAGTCAGAGACAGGCATTCCAGGAACAAAGGAAAATCCTAGCAAAGGTCCAGAGCCAGGAGAGGGAAGTAAATAGAGGAAACAACAAGTCACCCACTGCTTGCATGGATGAGCCATGGGAGAGTGGGCAGAGGGTAAGAAGTAAAAAAGCACGGAAAGGTGTGACGGGGTCATCCTGGAGCAGGTTCTGAGGCAGGGAGCAGGATGTGGGCTTTTCTCCATTGGCTAGGGAGCCAACAAATAGGATGGAGACACCGGTCTCTGGGATTGGAGCACTGGGTGAGAACCAGGTTAGGGGGAGGATCATGAGTTCAGAGAGAGATGCACTGAGCTGGAGGTGGTCATGGGGCTTCCAAGTGGCTGAGTCCAGAAGGCATCTCGATCCGTGGGTCTGGAGCTCAGAGAACAAAGATATGGGATGTGGGGGTCATGGACCTAGGCTGGCAACGAGGCAGGGAGTGAGGGCCTGCCGGATGCGACTCCTCCCTCCTAGAGCCCACCTCCCCCTGGGCCCCTGCTGAGCCACAGAACATAGCTCAGAGCATCACTTGCTGACAAAACCTAAGTGCAAGGGTTATGCATGTGCTTCTGCATTTCTTGAACCATTTCCAGCAAAGCTTGCTTTTGTTTCTATGTCTGGAGGAACTAGTCTAACCATGAGAGCTGTCCAGTAACAAATGGAGTGCCTCAAGTCCCCTTCACAGATGGTTCTGGAAGAGGCTGGAGAGACAGACATATTTCATAAAAGAATTTCCTCCAAAAAGTTCCCAAGAGGCCAGGCTATGAGGCAGATGTGTCCTGCCTGGACACAGAGCCTCTCAGGAGGGCATTCTCCACTGCATCCTGACTCCACCCAGCACTGAGGACACCTGTGCATCACTGGGCCAGAGGCACGCGGACAGGAAGCTCTCCAGACAAGCTGATAAAGAGGTTCTGGGAGCCAAAGTCAAGTCTGACTGGTCCTGAACTGGTAGCTTCCGATGAATGACCCAGAGCTGTCCCCTGAGCCCCCCATCTTAATTGTTGCCTTTGTCTTTTCTCAGAGGTTGGCTGGGAAGTACTATTCAAAGCAACTTGTTCTACCCTATCCTAAGTACATCGACTTGCCTGCAACCAAACCTTTTTAAGAATCTACTCTGCATGGGGTATTGGGGATTCAGTGGTGAGCCGGATTCTGACCACGTCCTCAAGGGACTCACGGCCTTGTGGCCACCTTGACTAGTGTTTAAATTTGCTTTCCACACGTTCTTTTGAATCCCCCATCCTCCTCCAAACTAACGTGTAATTTAATCAATCAATAAAAATAGAGTTTACACCCCAAAGCACACCTGCTTGCCAGTGTCCCCACAATGGAGCCCAGAGACCTGTAGAAATTGTCAGTGAGGCTCACATATTCACAAACCTTTCTCTGTATCCAATTACCCCTTCTCCAAATAAAACAGGCTTGTAACATGCAACACCAATATTCACTGGTGAAGGGGTACCGTAGACATATTAAGAAAACCACTGCATGAAGAAAGCAAACAAAAATATGTGCCCTTGAATGTTTATCTTGAATCCAGGAAAATATATTAAGAAAGTCAAATACAGAGAGAGAAACTGGAGGACAGAGCCTGTAAGGAAGGAGGGAAGCAGGGGGTGGAGTCGGAGGACTGCCTTGGAGAAAAACGTGGTAGGAAGAGGCACAGACCTGAGCTCATCTGATGGACTGAACTTCCTCCAGGGAAGTGGGGAGCAGCTCAGGAAGAGGGAAGATGGGGCCCCGGTGTAGATGCTGGATTCTGGAGACAATGTTGGAGCTACCAACTGCCTGCTCCTCTTTTTTTCCTATTTTATTTTTTCCTAGCCATCACATCTGATAAACGGAAAAGCAACTGGGAAAATATTGGTCTGTGGTTCTTTGAATAAAGCCTGGAAATCTAACTGTCATAAGAATAACAGGACTTGTTCCCAATGGGGCCATGCTGTAATAGGAAACAGCAGTTCTGAATATGGCTAGCTCCTAAGGATAAGTCAATTTAGAGAACATCTTAGCCATTAACCAGAGGCCACACTGGGGTCTAAGGGTCAAAGCTTTACAAAAGGACCCACCTTTAGATCGCAGGCTTCAGGAATGTCCACGAGCTGACACCAAGGCCAGCCCAAGAGTGTCCCTGTCAGTATGCATACCTGAGCCCTACTGACTGACCTTACTGAATTAGACCCTGGCCATAGGTTAAGAATCGTTGTCAGGGCCACATGCATGATGGTGCCCTTTGGTGGAAAGGGCTCTGGAACCAGACAGTCATCATACAGAATCCCAAATGCACCATTCAACAGTGTATGACCTTGAGCAAGTGATTTAACCTCTTGAGCCTCCCTTTTCCCATCTGCAAAATGAGGATGGTAATAACTGACATACAGGGCTGTTGATGAAGATAAGGATGTTAACAAACACAAAATGCCCTGACAAGTGCTTGGCCTCCCCATAGAAAAGGAAACCAAGAAAGAGGGAGGTCACTTCCGGAGGAGGACACACTTATCCCAGGGACAGTCACATGACTGGTGTGCCAGCTCACAGTGCGGTTCACTGATGACTGGGGTGGAACACAGCCATCCTCTTGGGTGAGGCTGTTCCAGTGTGGCTCTGACAGGTGTGCCCACACCTGATGCCTCCCAGTGGCACTAAGTCAGTCCTGGGTTCCAGCTGCCCCGGCAATGCCCTGGGAGCACTTCACATTGGCTAGTGTTAACCCCAGCCCTCGCAAGGGAAAAAGAGGGACAGACAAGAGGGCCCTGGGAGTGGGTCGGGATGCAGGGGAGGAAGCAGGAAATAAGTTAGAAATGTAAAAATAGAGCACTTTTGGAAGACTGGCAATAGAGAAACACTGGCTATCCAATTTGGAGGAGCCGCCCTAAAATAAAGCCAGCACTACATATTTGCCTTAAGTGGTACACAGAATGCGTCCTTCCCCCAAAACAAAAGAAACCTATAAAGACGATGGCAAAGCCCAGAGGATCGAACTTCCCAGGGACCATGGGGGACTCTGTCAGGCTCTGAAGAAAGGGGAGGCGGCTGTCACGTCCCTTCTCCTAATCACCAGCACAACCACCCGCAACCCGAGGGCAAGGGGCAGTTACCTCGCATGTCTCCCACCGGCCCGTGTAGACGTGGCGCTAATAAGATATGCACTTATGGACAAACCTCGAAAAGTGGGCCTTGCAAGCAGTTACTATCAGATACTACCTGCAAAATTATAAAATCAGCCACCCCAAGCTCTTTCAGCCATAGTAGCACTGAGCCGATGAAGAAACACACATCATAAAAGCATAAATTACCTGCACAATAAACCTTGCATCTTCTAGTATGTGGCCATTAGAAATCGATCAGTTAATTTAGGAGCAACGGAAGGCCACAGGGCTGATGAAAGCCCGTGCCAGGAAGCACTTTCTAGAGTCAGCTGTGTTAATAGCTGGCTAGGGTCACCAGGCTGCCCTGGTGGGTGCTTCCCGAATGGATGTGCGGGCAGAGGGCATGGCATCACAGGCCACTCCCGTGTAATGTTTGCAGCGTGGAGGTGGCCAGGACAAGTTACGGTGTAATGGTGGAGAACAGACCAGGCTGCAGTGAAACCTTGGTGTGCCCATTCCTCCCAGGACCCAAACCAGTGGAATGGCCAGTCATGGGAGAGATTTCCCATTTACCCCCTTTAAATGGTTCCACTGAACTGTGCCCTGACCAAGCTGCACAGCAGGTGTGCACACACATACACACACACACCTATACGCATACACATATACTCATACACATACTGACATGCACACACACACTTATGCACACACATCCACACTCTCACAAATATATACAGTTACACACTCACACCCATGCACTCTTATATACACACCCTCACACAGAGTCACATAACACACATACCTTCAACCTCCTGCAGGAAATGCAGCCTCCATCCCCTCTGCATTCCTTTGTCCACCCCCTCTGCACCCCATTTTCTAACCTGCCCTCACCTCTCCGGTCTCTGACCCCTGACTGGTAACCTCCCCTCACCCTGTACATCTAATGCCTGACGCCACTTCTCACGGACTCTTGACTTCCTCCTGGACTCAGATCTCCACTCTTCCCCTGGTTTCCACCTGCTCCGGCTGAGTATCTTGGCAAGTTCTGTTTACCTCTCTCACCTGTTGTCTTGCACGGTGGAGCCCTGGAATCTATTCCAGCACCAAGGATCACTCTGCACTTTCCCAAGGGGTGGGGGCTCAGTGCAGGCCACGCCCCTCACCATTCTGGGGCTCTTACCTCATTCACAAAGACCCAGTGGCTGTCCTTGGAAGCCAGGTTGGTCTCCACGGCCTGCAGAGAGAGAGAGAGAGAGAAAAAAAAACATGACCAGAAGCAAGCCAGAAGATGGCAGATGCACAGGATGACTGCCGAGGTGGAGTTTGATAAACATTGTTCCTGGAAAATTTTTTCCGTACAAAGCACGCTGTTCCCCTGAGGTCAGCTCTGGCTGCCTTAGCTACGAGACGCATCATTTGAACATGGACATCTGATTTCCTGCTGTTCTTCGGAGCTCTCATGCGCCAGTCCAGTTCCAGTAGGCGTCACAGGGCCATGGGCGGGGACATCCCTCCCCTCTCTCCTCTTGGAGAATGCCTGCAAACACCTTTCTGGAGGGGTGCTCAGGGAGGAATGTCTCACTGCTGCCTGAGGCTAGAGAATCAGGAATCTGGAACAAGGGATTTACAGTAGCTTGTCCAGCCTAGCTGAACAACACCCAGGAAGATGGCAGCTCACAGCTGGGGCTCTGAGCTGCCTTCAGATCTAAAGAACCCATCAAGGACCCTAGAACTGGCTCTTTTTTGCTCCGGGGCAGTGACCCCCATCCCCATCATTCTCTCTTAGAGCATTTTGTTCTATTTCTTTATAGCACTTGCCATGTCTGTACTTGAATAATTATCAGCTTATTTATTTTTTATTATCTATCGCCTTCACCAAGTTGGGGGTCTCCATGAGGTCAGGGGCCACATCTGTGGCTGTCACATTTGTGTCTCAAAACCTTACACTATAACCAGCACATAGTAGGTGTTCAATATATAAATGAATACAGTTGTTGAAGATATGAATGAAGTACAGGAGGGCGAAGCAGATAGGACCCAGTTACTTATTTTGTTTCTCGTATGTTTTCATGAGTGCTCTCTCCCTTTTTTAATTGGAAATCCAACAGATTGAAAAAGAGGAGGAACTGGTAGTTTTCAAGCCTGTCCTGTAAGAATACTCACAGTTAGCACGAGCCAAATACTGCTGAGTGCCAGGCACTGTTCCAGGCCATCTACGAACCTGGGAGAGAGCTCAGATTGTAGTCCTCTTTTATTTTTACTTTTTTTGGTATTTCTTAATGTAATTTTTGTCACTCTTTTTATTTGGAAAAATACAGAAAAATTTAAATGTTCAAAATTATCCCATAAACCTGCCCCATTTTTTAATGCACTAAAGTAGTGAAAACACCCCATATATCCCTCCAAATTCATCCCCCAGAGATTGTTCCCAATGGCCCCTTCCAGAAGTTTTCAGTCATACCTGCATGTATGTGTCTACATACACTTATCAGACAGATGTTTTAATTAAAATGGGATCATGAAATACACATCAGGTTACAACTGTCATTTTTGACTTAGTGTATCAAAAATATCTTTCCTCTTCAGTACACAGAGATCTGATTCATTCTTCTTAACAGATGAGTCACAGAGTGGTAAGGAGCCTCCCTGCTCCAGTAACCCAAGGGGCTGGGGGTCTGTGCTACCCCTTGGGGGGTTGACTACTGGGCCACCCTGCATGATAGGGGGCACTCCAGACTGGAAGCGGTCATAGAATGGGACAGTGAAAACTGATGGCCAGTTACAGTCACCAGGGACAGTGCAGGTGTGCAAGAGAGGCTGGAATTGCTCTTTGCAGCCTCTGAGAGTTGATTTGGCACCAAAGGCTCCAGTTCTCAGGGGAGCAGATATCAACTCAATACAGAAGAGAAGTTCCTGACTTTCCAAGGAGTTCAAGATGGAATGGGTTGCAGGAGCAACAAGATCTCACTGTGGAAATGCCTGCATGGAAGGCAGATAGCAGGGCCATATATGTATGTAAGTATCAACATGGAGGCTGACCACAGGTGAGGGGTAGCACACCATCACGCACTGGCATTCTGCAGCCATGAGTCTCAAGTCTGGCTGCATGTAAGAACCTCCTAGGGAGCTTTTAAGAATGCAGATCCTGGGCCGCACTCCTTGGATTCCTAACTCATTGGGAATAGTCACGTGCCTGACATGCTGTGTTGTTTCAGAGCTCTGAACCCTGACTCTTAGCCTCTGGAGCCAGAATGTATAGTTCTGTGAATCTGAAGGTATAGGTGCACCTGTACAGGTGAGAGGTCCTCCAATGTCCCTGCAGGAGCCAGCAGTGCAGAGGACCTGACTCAGTTGCCAGGACATCCCAGGAAGCAGGTGGGAGCCCTGGCTACATTAAGGCATCTTCCCACCTGGTCTCATCCTCATGCGTGGAAGATAATGATGGAAAGAATTGATCAGAAAACCCCACAGGACAACTGGCCAACTTTCCTGTCCTACTTTCCCCCTCACCAATTAATTAGCTAATTTGTTAAGCCTCTTTTCCCCACACAGAGATAAACAGCACTTGGCTACAGCCTTTTCCAGAGGGTGCAACTCCCACAGAAGCTGAGATAGATGGTGAGGAGAAGCGACTGCAGATTTAGCAAGAACACCCCTCCCCCCGATGGCTGGAGAGCTGCCAGCTCCGTGGGCAGAGCCCTAAATGTTCCCAGCCCAGTGGACGTGTCCCCTTCTAAGTGCCATCCTTTCCCCAGCCATGTCTGAGGCAGGTGGAGGCCCCCAAGACCTCCCTTTCACCTCAGAGCCAGCAAGGTAAGGAGGGGGCAGGCAAGCACAGGACGGTCGAATCCCAGGTCTGCCTCTGCTTAGCTGAGGGCTCCTGGGTGAGCTACTCCACCTCTCTGAGCGGCAGTCCCACGCATACAGGGTGTTCGGCGGCCAGCAGTACTATTGACACTCCGCCCTGGTCCCCCTCAAATCTCATTAGGCATTCGGAGCCCAGTGGCTCCCCGTATGCGTTCAATGCCAATGGCAGGCACTGTGGCCAGCTGTCCGAACCTTCCTTGGCACTCGGGAAAATGTACACGCTCACCAAGGACTGAGGGTACCATATACCCAAACCCCAGCTGCTCTGTTCCCTGATGGGGGCTGCTCAGAGCGTGGGCTCAGCTGTTTCCGGATCCCCTCTGTGGGGCTCGCCCACACGACCTCGCTCATGCACCCTCGCTGGCTGCTTTCACTTCCCTGTTCCACGTTCCCACTCCCCAGCCAGGTTTTTTTGTTCTTAATTCCCCTGGGAACACTTCTTACTAAATCACTGTCACACACACTCTTGCCCCGAAGTCTGCTTCGGGGGACCCAACCTGAGACAAACCCCTCCTATCTTAAAGTTACTGTGAGAATTAAATGAAATTGCGGGTGAAGCATCCAGCCCAGAAAGCAGCTCACTATGGATGGTCAGTGAACACGAAGGCCCTCCCTACGCCTTCCACTCACGTCTCCTGCCTGGTTGTCCTTCGATGGTCTCTTCTGAATGTGTAGAAGTGGGTCATCTCTCATGTGTTCCTTCTTTCAGTCAACAGACGGCACCAGACACACACAGCAGCTGCCCTAACTCTCCTGCACACGGGTGTGAGTCAGGAGTCTCGTCCATGCCGCTGTGGAGCCAACAGACCAATAACAAACACGCAGGTATGGTCAGCACTGCCTCCTCTATGAGTCCATAGACCCTTCAGGGCAGCACAGTGGGGCCTCCCCTCACCCCAGCCACGCTGCGGGTTTACCACTGCAAAACACCGCTGGCATCTGCAGAGGAGTGCTGGACCAACTAGACAAATAAGGGCAGGCCCTTCCTTCCATGGGTAGGCAGGGAGTGGAGCTGGCCTTCCGCTCCAGCTGGGCTCCTGGTCACTTGCTCACTGCAGGTAGGGAGGCTGGCTTCCTGCAAACGGGCTTCTCTCCTGGAACGGGGCACCATGGCTGTGAAACTCCCCACTAAATAATGCAGTGGCAGGTGGTGGAGTCCTGAGCAACTTCAGGAGCTCCGCACAGTCCCTGGAAACTAGGTCTCAATGAACCCAAGGGATGCCCTCAGTGGCGCAATGCCTCGGCACAGCACAGGCAGCCCTGCTTAGGTCAATGCTGTGAGTCCCTGAAAGGCTATGCCAGACCATCAGAGCCCAAAGGCCTGACTCCTGGGGTCCCTCAGTAGAGTGGCAAGTGGAGAACTTTAGAAGAAGAACTGAGGAGGTAGGAACTTCTAAAGAATCATGCTGACTCCTGTTTTAGCCCCTTTTGAATAGGAGACCCAAAATGCTTCAGGTGGCATGTAGCCCAGGCTAAGAGCTGGGATGGTGGACAGAGACAGCCAGTGGGAAGGGACATCACTTGCCGAGGCAGAACTGGACATCTGCCCTTGTTCTGACACCCACATACCACACTTTTGAGAGATAAGTGCACTGTCATAGGTGGACCCCTGTTAAAGGAAGCGGAAGGCAGCTGTTCTTCCCACACCCACACCTGGAGGAGGGAATGTGTCCCCTCGTCCGTGAGCAGCAGCCCCTGTCCGAACCTCAGGGTGCCTTTTCCTATGGCCAGTCGCATCTATGGAGCCAGAGTATAAGTGATGCAGGACACACCATCCCTGCAGGCTTGCCAGGCGCCAGGGGACATTTAGATGCTGTCCTGAACACCCAGCCACCTTGATCCCACAGTTTCCATAGAGAAGTAGAGGCAGATCAAACCCCAGCTCCTGGCTCCCAAAATGACAGCAGCCCCTAGCACTGCCAGGAATGGGATGTGTGGGGCAGCTCGCCTGGAAGGGGCTGCGAACACGTGGAAGTGAGGCTCAGTGCTAATATGCAAACATCTGGATGGAAGCAGAGAAGACAGGAGTTCTGAGGGATCAGAGGAAGCACCTCCAGCCTGTTCCCTTTCCTCTGTGTTCTCAGTCTTTCATGCAGAACCAAGTTGCAGCCATTTCCAAGGGCGACAAGAGCCTGCTTTTATCAAGCACCAGCCAGACACTTCAATACAACCCGTCCACTTGACAAGCCACGGGTCTTGCTTGGTTCACAACACCCTAAGGAGCCAGGTAGGTTCTCATCCCCATTTCACAGCTGAGGAACTAAGATCTAGATATAGACTCGGATCTTGCACGAGCCCCTCTGTTAGTAGAGACTGGATTTGAACTCAGGTCCATCTGTCCCCAAAGCCTATGTTCCTTTCCCTTGG